CCTTTTCCTCGCTCTCTATCTTCTTGTTGGTTCATTCCGTTCCGTTCTGCTCGCATCTGTCCACTCTTTTTTGTGTCTCTTCTATTGCCACATTTTTTCTTAACGCAGAGATGTGTGCAGATATTGAAATCGTCACGTCAAATCAGTATGACGGTGCGAGCGCCGCCCACTCTGAACTCGACCGCCCCGCTCCACGGCTTCGGTCCGCCCTCCCGTGACCCCATGTACGCGTCGATGGCACCCCCCCTCCACCCACAGAACCAGGCGGCAGCAGCGGCGGCAGCGGCGGCGGCCTCCGGAGCGGGTCTGCCCTTCCGCCAGACCTGCTCCTGGATGGACCGCCACGGACGTCCCGCCTCCCCGCCCATGGAGTACGGGGGCAGGCGCAGCGAGCGACGGGATCGGTAAGTACCCTATATTCTACCTATCATTTCTATGTTACCACTCACATTTCTCTTACAAACCCAAATCGCGCCGAGAAATGATGAGTCATTCTAGAATTCTTTAACACTTCATTGAGGACTTAAATCTCTTAAGATCAGGTCTTATTTTCCACGTGCAAATCTCTTACAATCCAATTAGGATTAGGTTACTTTAGAAATGAATATCACTTCATTGAGAACTTAAAAATCTTGGCATCATTTCTAAGTTTCCACTTACATACCTCTGACAATCCAAAAAGTACCGATACATTATTGGTTACTTAAGAAATCTTTAAGACTTTATTGAGAACTCAAATCTCTTGAGATTAGGAAAGAATATTTGTTCTAGCATTTACATATTTAAAGATTTTCCGTCCCAACTAGGGGTACATTCCAGTGGTCACCAGCAAAGGTAGCACACTTCATAAGTATTATGTTTTGACATACATATGAATGAGTGATTTCTTCGCTGTTTCGTGTATGCTGTATACTGTGCATGTGTCGGCAAAGGGTGGGCATAGAAAATAAGTTACTCCAAGAAAAGGGCCGCTGCTACTGTTGGTTATCATTGAAGTATTTTTAAAGATTAGATTTTAAGCTTCCAAATTATAATTTAAAATGTTTAAAACCATGGAAGCTTAAACATGTCAAGAGATTATCAAACACACAGAAACCAAAATTACTAGGATTTTTAAGAAAGCTAACCTCTTACCAACCCATCAGGATACGTCGTGTGGAGCTGCTAATCGAGCCGGGTCAATCTCTGGGTCTTATGATCCGTGGCGGCGTGGAGTATGGCCTGGGTATCTTCGTCACCGGCGTGGATAAGGACAGTGTGGCGGATCGATCCGGACTAATGATCGGCGACGAGATCCTCGAGGTCAACGGGCAGTCCTTTCTCGATGTGACGCACGACGAGGCGGTGGGTCAGTTGAAGTACCACAAGCGCATGTCGCTGGTGATACGTGACGTGGGCAAGGTGCCGCACTCCTGCACCTCCATCGAGATGGAGCCCTGGGATGCCTATAGTCCAACGGGCACAAGGTGGGTCCATCTGAGGAGCTTACGAATTCTACTAGATAAGTTCTTTTGATACCATACAGAGCACGCCGAAAAGGTCAAATTGCGACCATGGTGGAGGAGAAGGCGCGCTCTCTGCTGCCCCGTCATCACTTTGCAAGCCTTTCCTACTATATTGCTGAATATAGTGCGAAAGCAATGACCATAGATGCCTTTGTTGCCGTCTTATTAGAGATGTTAGATACGTACGAGAAGGTGAGTTTTCAAGATGTTTTCTGAGATCGAGGGGTTAGAGAAGTGGAATGTTTACCCCTTTTATTATAAATATTTTAAAAATAAAATTCTTTCTTTACTTCCAGCACACGCTAGTGACGGAAATACGGGAACTGGTGTTCCCCGAGGATCGCACGCGATACGATGAGCTCGTCTATCGCAGAGAACGCGATCCTTATAGCGTGGATAGGCATAGGGTAAGTCCCAGTATAACCATATTTTCGATTATACCCTATGTAAACCCTTCTATCTTTTACAGCGTAAGGGAGACCCCGCCCGTGATTTGCCGGTAAGCTTTTTAGAAGATTTATTCTACGACACAGACACAATATATACTTAGTTAAGAGAGCAACTCTCTACCCCAAACTACAATATAAACACTGAGCATGTTCAGCCAAATAAACTCTAACTTAACGTTGACTACTGTTCAACCGGTCCACTGTCTACTATTCGTCTATATCTACTCTACTTATATCTATCGCCTACAAAATGTTTATTGTTTAGTATATCTTTCTCTTCTTGCTGTTGTCGTTGATAATTGTTGTCACTGTATGTTTGTAACTTTTACATTTAATTTATCTGTTTCAACTGTAGACGAAATACAAATAACACTCGACAAAAGAAAATCCAAACAAAACTTGTAGTTTAATTGTTGAACGAGATACACTTGATACTTTCTTTAGCCACCCAACTCCAAACCAGTTAATGCTTCTTTCATTTCCCCAAATGTTGCATGTAATTTTCGTTTATTTTCTTTTCGACAAAGCTTTCAGAATTTCGCTTTCATCTGATTCGGCCCTTTGCAAGTAAAATTGCATTTCAAAACAAAAACAATCAAATCGAATGTCAATTTTTCCAAAACAAAAACACATATACATAGAAACAACTTTAGTTACATTGTAGTGGCAAAGTTTTTACATCATTTTTAGGCATAAGAAAAGAGGCGTTGGCGGATTAATGGAAATTAAGCAAAAACGAAAAAAATTCGATCGCAAACATTGGGAAATTCGAGCCAATTTGTGAATATTCAAACGTACAGTTGACTCTCATTGAGCTAAACTGTAAGTGTAAATACAATTGTGGGCTGTGACAAAGTGTCACTTAGATAAAATAGTTATTTTTAAATTTAGTACTACGTTTAAGTAACAAAGTTACTGTAAAATATCACATCGAATCTATGTAATCCCACACCGAAAATGCACCTAAAGGATAACCAAGAAACCACAACAGTCACCAAGAATCAGCACCAAAATATGCCTATAAATACCAATCAATATAACTATCGATCGAACTAAGAATGCACCCCCAGACACTCTATCTCTGTCGCTCTTCAGCTCTGACTCCTAGACGCTATCTCTGTCTAGCTCTTTTTACCTCTTTCTGTCTCTGTCTATGCTCGGTAGAATTCTACGGCAGCCTAGATTAGAGCCCCTCTCACTCACTTACTCACTCTCAAACTGTTCAGCTGTCACTGTTTCACTCACTCTCGCTCTGAATCGTATGCAAACCAAATCGTTCGTTTCGTTCCATTCCGTACCATTCCGTTCCGATCCCCAACAGGTAACAGCCGATGATTTGGAAATAATAGCCGCCACCGGAAGGAGTCCTTCGTCGGACTCGGGCCTGGGCATGACCGTAACGGATATACACAAACGGTACCTAGTCAATAACCGAAAATGCCTATCCCATATTCCAAAGTATCCCAATCCCACAGTATCCCAATTCCATCCTGAACAGTGTTGGAAAAGGTAGTTATTATTATATCCAAGAATTGTTATCCCAGTAATAATGAAGATGCTTAGAAATTGAGTTAGGTCAAATGACTTGAACGCGTAAACTAGTTATTATATTAATGAAGCTAAAATTTAATTCAACTACCTATTTCTCAGATAGAGCTTTTTTATCTCAATATCTAGTGAAGCCAGTTTCTACGATTATTTGAAGTCAGTGTGTTGTTCCTTAGTTAGCTATATAGCTAGGAAAATATATCTATATAGAACCTCCAACACTGATCCCTAACCACCCAACATCCCTCCATAACTGCTAACTGACCTGTGTATATGTATACGATAGACCCGCACTACAGTTGCCCCATCGGCCCATGTCGGCGGGACCCATACTGCATCGCTCACAGCCAGCATCACATTATCAGACAGCAAGCAACCAGTCCTCATCATCATTATCGCCTCCACAACAACAACAACAGCAGCAACACCAGCAGCAACATCTGAAACAGCAGCAACATTATCCACCCCATCATGCCTCATTGCGTCATCTGGGCGGAATCGGAGGCAACGTGGGATCTGGTCGTCATCATCACTATTCGTTGGGACCAAGTCAATTGAAATTCAAGCAGGCCAAAGACAATCAGCAACAGGTCAGGACCGAAACGAGTAGGGCGAATAGGGTAGCAAAGCTAATTTCACTGTTCCTCGAGTTGTTCTATTCTGAAATTTTCAGATCTCGAAAAGATTTCTACCTCAAAGCTTTCGATATTACGCTTCTATATAAAAAGTACTTACCGAGTCTTCTCAGAAAGTTTTTCAAAAACTTACCTATTTCTATAAAATATTCCGTAGGGTTTTTATATATTATTTCTTTATAGGTTTTTGATTAAGAAAAAAATTGACATTCGGCTATAAAATCGCCGAGATTTACGTTTTCCAGCTCTTCGTCTGTCTGGTGTGTCTCTTTAACTTTATTTTGTATCTTTAGTGTCTTTATCGCTCTATCTCTATCTACTTTTTGTATCGTTGTCTCTCTTTGTGTGTAACGTCTATTGTCGTTTTTTATAGTTTTAAATCTTTTTCCATGTTTGTCCAACTGCTCAATGTGGTTTATGTTTACGTTTTCGTCTCTGTTTCCGGTTATGTTGTATTTCCTTTTTAAATGTTGTCCAATTGGCTATTGAGTGTTGTAATACTGTTAAGTCGCATTAAGACCAGTGCCAAACTAAATTGGTCAACAGCAGAAAAGCATTTAAGCCGCCGAACAATATATATACTATGTAAATTCTTTTATCCCGGCTTAGGAATACGGCTGTGATGAGCACAGAACTCGCCGGGGTAGCGAAACCCTTTTACCGGAATACGAACCAGATGCGGTGAGTAAGCGAAGCGATCGCGATTTTATTGTAGGGTATCCATGGGGATAGCTAGATAGATTTTTCTTAACTCTACACTCTCGAAATCTTCCATTAGATCATTTCATGAAGTTCCATTTCATGATCAGCACACACTTCTATGAACTTACCTCTTGAAACTGTACCTTTAAGGAAATGTCCACTTAATATGTTGTGTACTTTATTCTTTGTATCTGTAACTGTATCTATAGTATGTTAATCTAACTAACACTAGACTTAAGCACTATAACCTATATGTGGGTTATATGGGGCAGCATGTTTGCCTAGCCAGTAAGACCTCCTCACATCTTGTCGTGCATGGAGCCCTCGGCCACCATGGGTAGATGGTAATCGCGGGGCGGCGTAAAGGGTCGCACAAAGTGTCGCCACTGGCGGTGGTGCAGGGGCGGGGGCGGCTGGATGGGCGTGGTCGCGGTGGTAGCCACCGCATGGTGGTGCTGCTGATGGCAACTGTTCGGCTCGAATTTCGGGCGTGGTATGCGCAACTGTTTGATCTCCGTCAAATAGGTTTCCATGTTGTCGCCAGTCGCCTGTTGATGTTTGATTTGTTTAAATGATTTGTTGTTCTTTGGCCAAGTTGCAATCAGTGTGGAGTGGACTTTGTTTGACGGTTTGACATTGCACTCGATGGGGAAAAGTCAGGGAAAATAAATAAAAGGCTTGGGGGGTCCTAGGTGTCCTAGGATATCGAGCGTAAAGTTAGCCAACCAGTTCAATTCTAATTGCAGTTCTAATGAAGTGGTATTTCGAGCTGATATCTACTGGGTTTTATATTGTCACTCCATTGAGAATACTTACAAAACACTACTTAAATATGGTTTTTCTGTTAAAATATCTATATGATACTTTTAAAATTGTTATTTTATTTTATTAAGAAAGAAAAAATGCGGAAAAATTTTGAAGTAAACTTAATTTACTCGAGTTAGCTCACTCCTAGTCATGACAATAATAAATGACGGAAAATTCCAAAAGAAAGTGCTTAGTAACTCAAAGAATCCCCAAAGATTCAGTAATTTATTTGCAAGCAAAACTCCGTTAAAACTCTTTCCTCAAAGCAAGAATCACTCTGCAATGAAGAACTATTTTAATGAACAGCCAACTTCAGTTATTCACTTAAGTTCTTATTTGATTTAGAGGGAAACGTTTCGTACTTGAATCTTTTGATGAATGTTTCCCCTTTGAGCAAACTTCGCCGACCAGGCCACTTGGCTCTCACCCACAACTTGTTGAGTAAGTGCAGGAAAAGTGAAAGTAAACTCACCGCCAAAACCCCAATGTACGGTATGTGGTGTATTCGGGCTAGAAGACAAGACAGGAAAATTGCAATAATTTCCGCAAAAGGCGTTCAACCGTATCACATGCAGGCAGTCAAGTTCAGGGCAGGATTTTCATTTGGTTCGCACGAAAATTGATTTGGATTTGGTGGTGGTGGGGCAGCAGGGAAGTCGGGGAATCGGGGAACTGAGAAGCTCTAAACGGCTTGCGATCCGCTTGCTTAGCCCTGTTTACACAGCTGACACCATTTGGGCCAGCTTGACCGACCGATGAACGATGGTCCAATGGCCAATGGTCGATGGACGACGGACGATGGACGGAACCGACCCAGACGGCAGCTGAGTAACCAGTTTGATTTCAACTACAACTGACAAACAACTTTTTGTTGGATGTCGCTTGTCTGGCTTATGGGACACTCACTTTTCGAATTTACAGGGACCCAGAGAAGGGGGGATAGAAATCGAGGTGGAACGGCAATGGGAGCGGGAGATCAGCCGGAGACCAAAAACTCAAAAGTGGGTCATTAGAGAAATGTACTAAATAAGGTACAAAACTTTGTCAAGACCAAAACGTAAACGTAAATGGAAAGTAAATTGTAAAGCTTGTACATGCTTCAAAGTTGTTTATAATGTAAATAAACCATTTGGATGCGTAGCGAAAACCAGTAAGAAGCTGAAAACAAAAACAAACCCAAATCCGGTCTACAAATTCAATGGGTGTGAAATATAATTATGAGATTGGGGGCCCAGTTGGTTGGCTGTCAGATTGAAGACCCATTCTGTCAATGGAGAACACTCTCTTACCCATCATAATGAGAACCTTAATTGAGGCAGAGGGGAAAGGTTTGGTGAGGTAGGGAGGTGTGAAGTCTTGAATCTTGATTAACCGTTATGACAAACTCTTTTACGTCTATCCATTATGTTGTTTTAGCAATCCGGACAGCTTGTCATCTTTGACATTATTCATTATACTCGACTGGGTTCCCCGGGGGTTAGATAATTAAGTTACCTTTTAGATACTCTAAGAAAATTTTAGGTTTTGGGTTGCCTCAAGGGGGGACTTCGAAGATTGAAGGTTGTATTTATAAACTAAAATAGTCGTCAATGAATTTTTAATTAATATTATTGTCATTCAGTTACTTTAATTATTTATTAATCACTTTAAATTTAAAAACAAAACTCAAAATAAATATAGCCACACTCTTTGAAATCCTACCAATTAAAGTGGTAAATCCTTAAATATTTTTAAATTGACTTGTGGCAATATCTTTTATTGCCTTTGACATTTTTCATTAGGTGACAGTTTCGCAAGCCTCAATTTTATTTGAATTTAAAAAACCTAATTTGTTCGACCTTGCAATAGCATTAATAAAATCCAGCTTTGGGGACTGAAAAACGTTCGGCAACTCCATCGATGCGGTGGACCAATGTTGAATTCGAGTTCGGTTCCCCCCTCTATCACCATTGCGTATCTAATGACAGTTCCCCAAAAACCCCTCCAGCCTCTGATTGAACAACGAGGTCAATGGCATGTGCTTTGAATGATGATTGCCAGCATTTCGATTCGAGTTACAAAAATTGAGCTACTACCAATAAGATGTGGCTACAAAAAAAATCATCATCAAACACGACAACACAAATCTTGGCTGCAAAAGTTTGCAAAGTCATAGATTTGATTGATTTTGAAATGGTTGCCCTGAGCAGCTTACCAAAAGACTCCAAAAATGATTGAAAAATGCTACGAAAATGATGTGTGCGTAGGGAAAATACAGTTAAATGGTCTGACAACCTTACAATTGACTGAAAGTTTTCATTATTGTCTGGAAAATTCTCTTTCTCTTTCCCGTGAAAGTTGTGCTTCCCGGTTTTTAAACGTTAAAGTCAAAGTTGTTCCTTCTGGTGAAATTTTTCTGGTTCTGCCAGTTGGAACCTTTTTTCTCTTAAATTTTTCCAAAAACTTAAACAAAAGGTGAACATTTAATTTGTTGTCGTATTCACACTATTGTTATGCCAACGATGAAGTCAGATGTTGGAGCTCTTTGTTGTGACACTGGGATATGAATAATTTTGGTTCACATTCGGGTCTAGCTCATTGACCTAAAAAGCAACTGACAGCTGACCGAATGTCTAAGAATAATTTATTAAATCTCTTAATTTGATTTTGTCGATCGGCTGGGATGAGAAGTGGGTCAGAGTTGGCTGGAAATGATTGGTTAACTGAAACCAATTTTGATGAATGCCTAAAGAGCGGTCTTTCTGTGAATATGCGGAACAACGTTTTTTATTGGAGCAATCTCCATTAAGTTTCTCCACCGGAAAAAGGGGTATTCTTATTTATGCCTTTTCCAATGGCAATTACTTTAGTCAGTTGTCAGTGCCCTTAGGCCCAGAGACACTCTGAAAGGCTGTCCAAAAAGCCATTAAAAGCATTTCGTTCGTTCTGTGTTTTATGCGCATTTCTTCTGAACCTTTTTGGCTTTCCCTACAGCCGACAGCCGATGTTCTTTTTTTCTGGGTCGAAATGTTTAGCAACTATTTCGCAGTCTTAACCACCTAGAATCCCCCACCTCCCTCCTCCATCATTTCCGTCAGCAACTTAATTGCAAAAAAGAAAGACAACAGATCAACCAAAACGATTAGACTTCATTGTGGCAATTAAAAAAGGTAACAAAAAAAAAATGAAAAACAAAGGAAATTAGCTCAGCCGAAAAAGGTGAGAAATAGAAGTTAATTGAATGCAAAATGCAAAGCAATAAAACAGTGTCTGTCTTCTGGCAAAAAGGCCCCAAAAAACGAATTGCGATGATATAATCAGACAAGAGTCAGGCAAAACTTCTGCTGGCTTTACTATAATAATATTTATGCAATAATTCGGTGGCAAACAGAGCGCGAAATGTAACGAAACGCGAGATTTGTCAACTCCACAGGCAACTTGTTTCTCGTTCAATTTAAGCCTGGTTATACGCACTTTTAGCTGATGCTCGTTGGCCGCACAAAATTGTGGTAAACGTATATTCAAAGCCCTCTGATGACTGGGATTTCAACCTCACGCTCGAACCGACGACGCGCGACTGAAACTGCAGACTTTTCTGAAGGTAGAGCTGCGGCTGAGTCCAAAGTTGCTGCTGCCGGTTGTAGTTGCTCATGTTGCTGCTTTGCTGTTGCTGCTGCTGCTGCCAAAAGCCAACGATGCCCAGCCAGCCGCAGCAGCAGAGCTACTCTTTTTTGGCCAGAGTCGTCGGCAGATGGTAGAGAGTTTGACCAAAATATCAACAGACCTTGCAATATGATATAAATAGCAGTGCAGTTGAACTTTCGCACTGAAATATCCCAAGTAAATCATTTTATTTATCGCATAAAGTAACTTAACTAAAAATAAAAATGTTTATAATATTTTAAATAACACTGTTATTTTCTCCGATTTAAAAAGTCGGTTCATAACTATTTATTTTAATTTAAAATATATTCAAAATGAATTTAATTTCGAGAATAGAATCTATGAAATATGGGCAATTGCCAATTCTCTTCAGAATCAATAACACTTTCCTATCTTTTAGAAAAGGTATGATAATAATATTAGTACATTTAAACGTATTCAAAATTAAGCTTAGTAATTAAGACCCAACATCTTCAAAAATAATTTAATTAGCATTCAGATTTCATTTTCGTTTTCGCTTTTGTATACCAAAAATCAGTCATTTCATGTGTTGCTTTTTCGGGGTGTCAAAAAACTTCTGGAAACATAAAAATGAAGCGTAGGCTTTCTAAAAAAACAAATGCACGTAAAATAAATTCTTACATTTTTAAGTCTTACCTTAATTTAAGTACCTCACCATTTCGATTATATCAGCTTACATTATAAGAACGATACTAACACCCAATGAAATGCAACCCTTAAATTTGCTAGAGCATTTTCGAGTTGGCTTGGCATCTACACAATTTTCATCCTGGGGTTTTTGTTGTTGCGTTGAATTTTGCTTTCTTTGACGTTTTGCCACTGAACGTTTTCCCACTACTTTTTATGGCCTAGTAATGTAAAAAATTACCCGCAACGACGACAGAAACAATGGCAGGCGATTTGATAAACAAAGACTGTCAATATTTATGACTAAAAATTATACTGCAATTATATCGCCAAGATATAAGTGCGCGATTTACGCAATGCTCGAACTGGAGTGACAAATAAATAAAATGTATCTGTGGGATACTGCAGCTGACATCGACTGCAGCTGTGCGGGGTTTTTAGTTTCTTTACTCCGGCCCCCTTTTATTTTTTTTGTTATTTATTTTTCTGTTTACCCCTTGGGTTTTGTATTTGTTTTGTTTTGCTTGAACATGACGTAAATGGAAAATTTGTATTTTCTGCCTACTGACTATGACTGGCGGAGTTGATGGCCAGAAAGACGCTTGCATTTGGCATTGAAAAGAGATGATGCTCATTAGCAACTAAGCGGAGTAATTAATTTTTCTTTTTCGGTTTTTCAATCTTCTTTTTTCGCCACCGTTCCACGCTGCGTATGCGCAATGGATGGAAATCGCATTAATTGGATACAGGAACAGGTAAGCTCGATGTTCGCTGCATTCGCCGTTTGTTACACTTTAAGCACTTTTCGAAACTATCTTTTCGACACACTCACACACACAAAACACACCAAAACACATATAAACATATAAACTCCAATAAATATATATACAAACGTACATACTTAACAAAGGAAAAACCAATAAGGAAGCAATCGTTACCAAAGAGCAACAAAAACTCTTGTAAATATTTAGCTCGCTACTCTGTTTTAAACCATTTCTTTAACTAATTTCGCCTCTGGTGATTCGTGTGCATAATTTTCCGAATGCAAGAGGTGGGGACGTGTATGTGGGCGTATTGCAGGCCCAGGCAATGGAGCTTTGGTGAAGATTACCTCACAAAATTTTGACATAACCAAAGTTAACTAGCAAATAAACGCGTTATAGCGGGTGTAGTTTAAATCCCAGATTATTCAGTTGAGCGAAGGAAATTTAAATTGAGGCCTGAAAGTATGCTATTAAAATTTACACAAAGCCAGCAACACTTGGTTTTAAGCAACATGTTGCCTAGCAACATTTGTTGCCAAGAGCTACAAGGAAAATATAGAAATTTCTTTGAAAACTCATAACTTATCCTGAAGTTTTTAAATCATTAAACTAGCTAATTTAAAAATTTTAAAAACGTAATTAGACCTATAACAGCAGTAGCGATTGTAGAGAAACCACATTCTATAGTTAAGACATTAGTTGTATAGTTAAGTACTCATTTTCAAATGGATCATCTAAGTAGTTATGGTTACTACGATTAACAGTAACTTGTAACCTCCCGTAAATCTTCAACAAGTATCCAGTTCAACTATATAACCAGTAAAATACTTAAAAGTAGCTTGACTAGTTGAATACATAAATATAAACTAGGAACCCCACAAAGACCCACAGAATCCTCCTGTTCTCTATTACTTTCTCTCTATTTAAACCCAGCACACTGATTTCCCCCTTGATTTCCCACTCGAGTCTTTCATTTCACCCCGGCACCCCTCACCACTTTTGTTGTACCATCAGATCCATAGACTTCCAGATCGCTTTTGAGTTTGGATTTCCGTGACCTCTTGTCCCGTACTCCCCGAAATTGTTCTTGTTTGTTCATTTGTGTGCATTTCAGGGCGGCTACTTAGATGGACTGCGTTCACATTTGGGTGGTTTAACACAACGTGTCAAATCATGGTATTGGGGACGACCTCTAGTAAGTGCCAATGTATTTTTCGTTAAAACGTTAAAAACGAAAACAAACAAAAAAACAAATACCTAATAATAAAAACGACACCAGCAACCACAAAAATAGAAATTGTGTTCGCAAGTTGAGTGGAATAATTTTTGTCTGCGAAATGTTTTCACCAGTCTGCATTTTGTTTTTCTTTTTGGTACAGACCGTTCAATTTGCATCTCGTTGCATTCAATTTAGCCTGAACTACTTAGTATTGTTGCTATCTCACTATCTCACTCGCTCTCTATATCTCTCTCTCTCTATCTCTGTAACTCTGTCTCTCTCTATTAACTAACTAACTTAACTAACTTAACCGTTTTGAATGTGCATTGCAACGAAAGCCACTGCAACTGCAAGTGCAAGTGCCATTAAAATAACAAAATTAAAAGATTTCTTTTCTCGAATTCGGTTGCATTTCAAGCATTTTGTGTTGTATTCGTAGGAACTGTGTTTTAGTTTTGTGCTCTCATTCCAAGTCAAATTTTGCTTGCCCCACAAGTTAAACAACTACATTATTTCCATTGTGTTTCGTTTCTTTATATCTTTCATTTTTTCGTGGCGCACTCGAAAACGTTTCATATAGATTTCCTTAGTCTCTTTGTAAAGTAATTGTCAATGTAAGTATTTTAAAACAAAAGCTAAACAAGACACAAGACTAAAAAGCCAACAATGCCTTAAAAAGCGAAAGGTCAAGCCTTTAAGACAAAAAAATGAACAAAAAGTGAATATAAAAAAAGGAAAAAAAACAAGAAAAAGAAAAGCTTGAAAAATACATTTGCACATTTACGCATGAGTCACCCCGATTTCTAAACACACGCAAAATATCAATATCAATATCCGTATCAGCATCGAATAATTTGGTCATGGTTCACCGCCAGCCATAACTCACCGATTCACCTCTCACACATCGATTTGTAGTGTTTCTACCATTTCTTTTCATTTGCCCGGTAATTAGTGTAAATCCCGATTTATGTTGGCCTTCATTTTAGCTGCTGCTCTCCCACACAACGACACCAATTAACAAAAACAACACACGCACCCCAATATCCTAGTTGTAGTTAGCAGCTCTTAGTCCTGTAAAATACTCGTAAGTTGAAGTTTTGAAGTTTTAGTTAGCGCTACATTTGGTCCCACCTAGTCCGACTTAGTCTAGTTACCAAAATCTAAGTGTCTTAGTTGCCAACTCTTACCATTAGCTTTTATAAATAGACTGTATAATTATTGTACTATATAGTTGCAAAGCCTTAAATTGCACAAACTCAAAGACAAAACACAACCCAGCCAAAAACACAGACAAAATCCACAGATACGCACACAGCACTCGCATATTCATAAATTGCACTCTTGAATTTAGTCCAAAATATTTGATAGGTGAAAAGCCAATTATCCAATAATAAAAAACAGTGGCTTAAAAAAAATCACTTTATTCGGTGTTAACTTAAAAGTGCTGAAAAAAATGTTTATTCAGCTCAAAAAACTACCCAAATTGTTTTAGGCCTCCCAAAGTTTTAACCCTTTGTATGGTAACCAAAAAAATTGTTACAGGATGTTTTAAAAAATATTTTTTGCTTTTAATGTTCACTGCTCCTTTAAAAATTGATTTTTTAAAATTTGTTTCTATAATAAATGTAGGTTAAATTAGGCGTACAACACTGATGTTTGTTTCAACAATATTTAACAATAAAAATAAATGTTTAAAAACTTAGGATTCAATTATAAATAATACTGAAATTAATTAGAATGTTGCAGATGTGCAATATTGTCATGCAAAGGGTTAGGCTTTATAGTAAATTTAAAAAATATTAAGTATTCATACTACTTTTTGCCCTTCTTTTCCGATTGTACGATAAAATCCGAAATATAAGATAAGCTGCACTCTCGCCAGTGACAAACTGAAAAAACCACTGCCAAGCCAATCAAGCAATCAAAGCTTACATCAACGAATAGTCCAAAATGGTGAAAGGTAACCAAAAATCGAATGCAAAAGGAAAAATGACAACTCTGCAATCCAAAGCAAATCAGCTCAGTTCAGTTCACTTCGAATGCCAATCGATATCCAGAATCTCAGACTGTCCCCCTCTATCTCTATCTATTTCTCTCTCTGTTTATCTCTCTCTGAAGCACGCTTTGGCATATGCTGTCCCACAAGAACCACCCATCCACCGACCCAAAAACAAACCCACCACTCAATTTAACCCACCGTATAGTCAACTTGTCATACTTTATTCAATTAAATTTCTATCTGTATGTTTGCAAGTGAGCGAAAATCAAAGCCAAACCAAAAAAAAAAAAATGAAACAAGCAAACACTTTCTAAAGCGGCCACAATCAAGAACTTTATAAATATATTCTAACCATATTTCACACGCAACCAATACAGTCTACCAAGAAATCAACTACGTTTTTTATCTCTACTACAAGCAACTACAACGAATTCTTATGCAAATATCTCTACTATTTTCATTTTACATTCAACTTATTGTACGACCAAAAATCAATCAAATGTTTGCTCACTATGCAAAACCCAAACAAACAAACAAACTCATTGCCAACATACAATGTGGCCAAAATCTGAAAACCGAACATAAAATTAATATGAATAGGAGTTGGCCACAAAACTCTCACGAAGTTTCGATATGAAGGAAGAAGGCGGCACATTGCTGGGCGATAAAGGTGTACGAAGGCATCAGGTGAGTGCTACTCCAAAACTAGTGCAATCACACTAAAATAACAGATATCTATATCTACAACTAATAACTGAATACAGCACTTGAATGCCAACAACAACTTTAATATAACTAAAAACAGAAAACAAACGTATGAGAAACCAAATCAGTTACGGCTCGAAATGATCAGAGTTAATATTTTCGTCGGTTTTTTCTAGTTAAATTTTATACAATTCGGTCACCCCAGAACATTTCATGATTCATTCCAAACAAATCACACAAAAGTTTCTACTTTCTCTCTATCTCTCTTTAGCTAACTCCAAAATATACAACTATGCCATTGAATATTTTTAACTAGAAATATTTGTAAATTTGAATTGGCCTACCTTTCCATAGCTTGAACCGTTTTCTATTGTTTGAACCACACGTAAATAAGTACAACAACCCAAAACAATATTTACCAAAGTCCTTGAATCAACCAAATGTTAAATTGCTTGCCTTAACCAAATCACAAAATCTATTTTACCAGCTTGAACCAAGTTTTGATTAAACCCAAACACGATTTGAATCTTAAGCTAAACTTAGAACTAATGGATATCAAAGAAGTTTTTATCGAATGGGAAATATTAAACAAAATAGTTTAAATATTTAATTGATATTTTATGAATTCGATTTATTTATTTTTCAGTCCATGCAGCGTCTGTCAGCGGAGCAGAATGGTGGTTCAACGACTGAACAAACACATGAACACAATCCAAACGTCGTACCTGATCATAGAGGCAACTTACACATTACAGTTAAGAAAACCAAACCAATTTTAGGTATTGCTATCGAAGGTGGTGCTAATACAAAACACCCGCTCCCTAGGATAATCAATATCCATGTGAGTATGCCATCGATCATTTAGAGAACTTTTATGCTTAAATTGAACTTGCAACAGGAAAATGGTGCAGCATTTGAAGCGGGCGGCCTAGAAGTCGGGCAACTCATACTGGAGGTAGATGGAACCAAAGTGGAAGGTCTACATCATCAGGTAAAGTTGAAAGGAGTTTCTCTTCAAGCCACTAGGGTTTTAAAATCACTATAAAATGTCATAAGGTGTCCAAAAGTATGCAACAATATATTAATAACTCCGAAGCATAATGAATTCATTCGGAAGACAACTATCCTTAAATTACTGCATACTTTTAGGCATCTAAAATTCATTTAAAAGTGTACAAAACCCTAGTGATTTGTATATTTTCCATATCTTATACATCTCTGCTAACTACTTCCTTGATTTTCCAGGAGGTTGCTCGACTTATAGCCGAATGCTTTGCTAATCGTGAAAAGGCTGAAATAACCTTCTTAGTTGTCGAAGCAAAAAAATCAAATTTGGAACCGAAGCCGACGGCGCTGATATTTTTAGAAGCCTAACATTTGCTTGCCCTGCCGGCCAGTGACCCATTGGAACGCCAAAAGCTGGAGTTCCTCTACGAATGGGGCATCGATTTAACGGAGACGCCAAAACCAATGCCAACACCAATACCGCTAACGAAAGCCAAGAATCCGCCGCCACTGCCCCATGAGATGCACAACAACATCAGTGCCCATTATGGTGGCAGTGCGGCGCTCAGCAATCATCAACCTCATCCGCATACGCATCCGCATCCACACACTCACCAGCAGCAACAGCAGCAGCAACAACAGCAGCAACATCAGCAACAGCAGCAGCATCAGCAGCAACATCCAAACACCAAAACGCCCAACACGAACAACAACACACAAGCAACACCAACCGGAGGAGCAGCAGCAACAACTGCCAGCAAACAACAACCATCGGTTAACACCAACACACCAACAAAAGCTTCGCGTGAGGCAACTCCCACAAGGGATCAGCATCAGCAACATGCCACGCCCACACGCGAACACCAGCAGCAAACGCCCACCCGCCAGCAGCAACTGCAACGTGAACAACGCGAGCAGCAGCAACGCGACCAGCAGCAACATCATCGCGAACGGCAGCAACATTATCGCGAGCAACGCGAACAACGCGAGCGGGAATACCAACACGAACACGAACATGAACAACACCACCACCACGAACAACACCATCACCAACACCATCGTGACCACCACGAGCAACACCAACAACACCAGCAACACCACCACCATCATCATCATCACTCATCTGGATCACAGCAGCAACACCAACGCTACAGCAGCAGCAACAGCTACAAATCTCATAATAATTCCGTTTACCAGTAAGGAGAAACCGAGAAACAAGAGTCAAGAAATGCAATTCTAGCAATTGGAGCAACAATTTTTTGGAAACATTCTTTCAAAACTGCAACAGCAATTCAATCAGTAAACAGTTTAATTGTGCTACCTATGTTTAAAACATAAAATAAGACCTCTGCCCCTCATGCACGCCTCTTTCTTCACCGAACACAACGCGCTTGACAGAATATAAAAACAAAATTGACCCAAAAAAATATTCCGGCTTTGTCCTAATTAAACTGTATTCTATGAGTCGCCATATCCCGCTTTAGTAGGCCCCCTAGAAATGTGTTTATTTGTTGTAGCTGAAGAGATGCCCTAACAAAAAAAAATGTTTAAAAAATGGAGTCTAAGAGACCTGTTTGTAAAAAATCCTTTATAAGTTTTTATCCTTTTTTGTTAACTATATTAAACAATTTCAGAAATATCAAATGTAAAATTTTAACACTGCCGAGGTTAAAGTAAAAAAAAAACCAGGGCATCTCTCTACCTCACTTGGCTTTCCGTTCTGCATATATGTCTCCCTACAAAACTATCCTAATACTAGAACCAAGAACCACTCCGATCCTCAACTAGAATATCCAGTGACAAGACCTATCCAGAACTTAGGTATCCTAAGAACCTCTATCGAACCACGCGCTAGTCGAATTGTGTAAATCTGTGTAAACTCTAAAACATATTATTGTATGATTATAATTACTATTGATTATCAAGCGAGCAACGTAGCTTAGACCGTTAGTCATTACTTGTTTAAACTGGTGACAAGACAACAAGTTTGGGTTCACGAGATTACTGTAAGAGCAATGTTATTTGATGATAAACCCACAAAAGCCCCCAAAGGAAAAGCAACCACAACCCAATAAGGCATACATTAAGAAAATCAAGAGCTTAAAATGTTTAAAATGAACAAGTAAAATATCTAAAAATCCCTTAAACAGTAAGCAAGAAGAAGACGATGCAGAGATGAAATATGAAAACAAAGATTAAAGGCACAGACACTGTAAAATATAAAAATAACCAGAAAACTAGTAACGAATTATCGCTTTTGTTAGATTCAAACACACACTAACACACAAACATACACGCATGCACGGCACTCACACACACACGCATGCATATTGCCAAATTGATTGTATTTACAGCAGCAAATTGAACAAAACTATAAAAAAAAAACCAACAACAAACAAAAATGAAGCCCACCTAAGCAAAAAGATAATTTGTAAAAATTAAAAATAATCTTAAAATTAAATCACAAAAAATGTAAAAAGCTATAAATATATATTTAAAGAAGGAAGCCACAAACACACACACACACGATAACACTTACACTGACACCCACTCAGAAATAATTAGCCCAAAAAGCGCATCAATTCTAAATTTTAACCAAAATATCAAATAATATACCCGCAGTGTTGTAAGGTTAATCGAAGTTTTTAAATTTTGACATCGACTGAAATTCTCTTATGTTTGGAATTCTTTTCTAGACTATATTTATAGTCCATCCGTGATATTCCTTGATCAATCTGACAACACCGCAAGGCATATCCCTGTTATTAGTACAACTTAAACTGCACACTGCACAATTTTTGAATGTTTGTTAAATGTTTTAAAGAGCAAAAGCCGACACCAGGAAAATCCGCTGCAAAATTGTATTCTCCTCACCACCAAAATAACTAAGGAAAATCCCTTGCACCCCAAATCGATCCCCAAAACCAACTCCAACCCTGAAAAAATGGTAAACGAATTATGAAACTGCTAGGGCAGAAGGACATCTATGTCTGCTCTGCCACTAAAAATGCAAAAATAACATTAACGCTGTAGAGACAAGGAGAAATTAACGCTTAAAATTTGAGGTTGATTGGCATTAAGTAAAAGTTAAACGATGTTGAAGCAGGAAGAGCCGAGCCGACAGGGCGCGATCACGAGCAAGTAAAAAATTATATAACAACTTAAAAAAACACGCACGATGAACAACAGATTGTGCTGACTATAACTTCATACGTATTGTGTAAAATATTAGCAAAAGACGAATTCCTTTTTATAGATCAAAAACAAAAAAAAAAGCAACGTATTTTTCGCTCTCTCTATCTTTCACTTTCGATTATACGATCTACGACCTACGATCTACCTATTATATATCTGTCACTCACTCATTCAGTCAATCGTTCAGTCAATCGTTTCGGCAAGTTTGTTGATTTCGTTTGTTGTGTGTGATAGTGTTTGGAATTAAAATGAAACTTTTGCATGTCACAAGAGCAATTTGTTCACCCTAAGTCCCCCAAAAAAGTTAACTTTGTGTCTAATGGTATGTATAGGGCATGGTTCCTATGCCGGGCTTGTTTTTATCATCTCAAATCTACGAAACGACAACTATTCCACTGCTTAACTCTCTCTTAATAACTCTCTTTATGTATGTGTCTGTGTGGAAAGTAAATATACAAAACTATTAAAATTGAAATTGAATCGTTATATGAGGTATTGTACTTGTATTTTTGTTGACTATTATGTAATTAAACGCTTTACTGAATATCAGTTATGTACATTTTTTAGCTAAAAGTAAAAATTAAAAACCAAATTCAAGCAAAGAAGCTTATGCTGTTACTTATTGTTAGTGAATTTACCACAAAAAGAATGAAACAAAAATCTAAGAAAACCAAAAAACTCAAGTTAAATTTTCAAAAATTTATAAAAACTATAAAATCATTTTGCAACGTTTATGCGTGACGAAAAGTATCAAGGGGGTTGCCTTGTGGACGCACTTACGCCTTTGTATATTGCGATACATTTTGATGAGAAGGCTAAACTTAAACTTTGAGAACTACCAGATAAATATCTATTTAATATAATATTTAATAAAAATATACCGTATATAAAACGTATGCTAAACTATATCCAAATTGTAAACGACAATGAGAAGCAATTTTAAGCAAAATGAAGAAACCATTTCAATTTCAACTTCAATACCCCCACATGCAAACACACTCGGATGATGATACCATTTATGTGAATTAATATGTATAGAACTATATATATATAACTATGATTACAAAACAGCAACAAGGCTATCTATATGCTATGCTAATGAAAGGGTAAACGGCATTTAAACTCATTCAACCAAAACAAACAGAAACCGCATCACACGGGAAAGAAATGAAAGCTTATAAATACCATATAGAACCGTATATGTACCATACCATATAGATCCACAAACCATGTACCACGTAAATATCGTATCGTAAATAGCAATAGCAGTTAGTTATAGTTAATATGGATAGCTATATTACCGAATAGCAAAGCCTCAGCCGAAGCAAACTTGTTGTACGATTAAGATTGAGCTAGACTTTTAACCAGAGATAATCCAACTTGTAGATATATCGATATATCACATATAAAGTGTATGATTGTGTATATTACCGGTTAACAAAAGAACTCTTATGATTTCCAGGTCTCGCTTTTGAGTTAATCCTCCTTAAGGGCCCCAACAAATATATATCAAGTCCCCAAAACCCTTAATGCATTCAGACCAGACCACAAAAAATACTACTAATAACCAACTACAACCAAAACAAACTGTGCCACCTAGTACATACATAACAAGAAATGCTCACTTTTATATTTTTTATCATACATACATACTTATATCGAGAATGCTAATGAAAAGTACACAGAAAGAAGCACCTTAAGAACCACTGAACCACAAAACCGAACAAAACATAGAAAAATTCTCATGCCCAAAAGAATATATTTATATATAGTGTACAAGTTCTATATGCCTAGATATTCGTTCCATTGCTTTTTAGAGCCAATTTGCTTTGCTTGCGAGACAAAATCCCCTGGAAAGACCCATACTTCAATTTTATTTCCACCTCCGAAACCCATTCAAAATGACAATTAGGAACGATAACACCAGGCATAAACGCAAAAGATCGAGCTAAACTAGTGCTTAGTGTTTAAATATAAACAATTTCAATAAAGGTATTTCAGTTGTGTATATTGTAAAGAACAATTATAAATGAACAAATATAAAGTTAAACATTTAAAAAATAATTCAACAATTTATTGAAACATTAATAAAAATAATTGTATTTATCAAAATTAATACAAAACAAATCTAAGGCATTAGCATAGCAAAAGATAATGGTATACATAAATTGAAATGAAAATGAACACAAAAAGCGCTGATTTAATATTATATTATTAATTATATTATTGCAAACAACAAAGTGAAAAACAAATGATATTGTCCTTGGTATTTACATATACATAAAGAAAAACAGCAAAAAACAAGAAAAATAAAAAGAAAACGTTTTTTTATATAACCGATGGGTTGGAATTGTTTTATTGATTTAATATTATTTTTTATGGTATGGGTATCCTACGGATTTCAAGTTTTGTTATTTAATAAAAAATACTAAGATATAGATATTTTCTAACAGAAACCTTAGATCATTTGGGGTAAGCAAAGATAACTATAGAAAAATATCTCAAATGGGTATGGTGATCTAGTTTATTAGCAATAAAAATTATTTTAAAGAATGTTTTAGCATCTTTACTTATTCTGAGTATTTTATTCGTATATTTTTTCAAACTATGGCGCCTTAACGCCCTTATATGCGATGAAAAATCGTCTTATCGATAGAACCGAGCGAGTTCGAATTCCCAGAGAGAGATGGCAAGACATGCCGCACTGTGTGTTTATAAGCGAGAACAAAACTTGGTTCGGCAACAATTTCAAACAAGACGTTAAAGGCGACCGTGCCTGCCAGCGACTGTCCAGGAGTTCAGAAAATCCTGCCAGGACATACAGCCCAAACACGCGGTTCAGACTCAAACTAAAGAAAAATCTCTTTCATTTTAAAAAGTGCGCGCTTCCTAGCCGAGTTTAAATAACCAAAAACAAAATTAAATAAATAAATATCTTTAAAATGCCTTTCGCAAACGAGCAACTTAAAGTGGTGGCCAGCGAGCAGCTGAGCAAATCGGAGACCATCCAGCTGCGCAACCAGCACATCGGGTAAGTCATATCCTGCCGTAGTCCTTGCTCCTTGTTCCGTAATCCGTAATCCCTGGTCTCCGGGTCGTGAGCCTGCGACCTTGCCTTGAATTCGCTGTGGCTGTCAAGGTCAGGCGGCATCCCCCACCCGGCCCACTCATCGCCTTCCCTCTCTGTTGCTCGCCCTACAAAATAGCCAGCCCGCTTTTCTTGTATTTTTGGCACTGTTGCCAACAGCAGCCCCCCAGCCCCCAAAAAAAGAAATAATAAAACAAAAAGTACAAAACACACAGCGAAAAATAAAAACATGCAGCAGAGCGGCTTTTTTAGATTTTGGCTTTATTGATTTTTATCGCCTGACTGCAAAGTAATGGGAGCCCTATATTAGGAAGGCTTATAAAAACAATTTTAAAAGTTTGAAAAGGAAAATAGGAGAGTTTATTCTTGGTATAGGGTTCCGAAACCTCACTTAATCGAATTTAATTAGCAATTTTGGATTGATTGGGGGCACATTATCTAAATTGTCAAAAAAAAATATTAGGTTGGTCAAATTTTTCATTTCACTTTTCCATTTTATGGAAAGTGCTGTAATTTCACAAACCTAGAAATTAAAAAACAGGAACAATATCTGGGTTTGTTTTTATGACTTTGTACTTTACAAAGTACGTCAGCTAAACATTGAAAACTTTCGATTCCCCAAACAACAAGTCAAATTTTTATAGATCATAAAGTGTAAGGTGTAATATATTTTACTATTTGTTATAAAAAATTGAATAAATAGGTAAAAAGTTTTTCTTTAAAGGGACATTTTAAATTTGCTCTACTTATTGATTTGTAATTGCCTTAGTTATAGGATCAAAGTGCATTTATTTGTCCCCGTTAAATTGTTAGCAGCTGTACCCCCGTTTTCTTTGTTTGCCTAAAGTCAACCGTAAAATGTTTATCAAACACTGCAAGAGGCCTTGTTTTTGTCTGGCAAACACAAATACAATAACCATTAAATTCGGGAGTGGGCACGGGAATAATCTTAGTGATTATCACCACAGCTAACTTGTGATACTTGTGAATTGTTGAAATAGGCCCCGGTTAATAGTGTAACTAGAGTGTCATATACGTCATTGCATTTTACAATGTCTCTGGGATTTTATGGGTGTAATTAAAACTTAACTATTACCAAGTTAATACATTTTAATTGTTTCTCTGTAGGCAAGCCTGCCAGCTCTTCTATCGTTCTGACCCCCTGAAAATTGTACGCGGCCAAGGTCAATATATGTTCGATGAGGAGGGCACCCGGTATCTGGACTGCATCAACAATGTTGCTCATGGTAAGTGACTATACCTATTACTAATATTAAGAGTAAAAAATATCCCAGTGACAAATTTTTAGGGAATTTATGGAAAAAATAAGTATTACTAAGATATTGTTATTTTTAAGATGATATAACATTTCAGAAAGATGATCTTAAAAGTTTTTAAAAGGTATAAAGATAAAGAATATTTGAAAATTGTCGTTTCGTTTCGAGCAATCTTATATATTGAACATAAAATCGTGAAAATCAGTTGGGTTTTTTCAAGATTGTTGCTATGGTCTCTCGATCGATTGCCTAGGCGGCAAATTTGGAACCGGGGCCTGATGACGTATTATTTTGGACCTACCGTCCGGACGTCGACACTTGGTCGACGGCAGATCCTATTTCTGTTTATGCTGATTAGCAACGGCACACGCCCAACAAATGGCAAAAATGCTGGGCTGCAAAGTGCATGCCATATACAAGTAAAAAGCATACTGGGGAACTTGAAGAGGAATGGGCGGACTCTCGCATTTGGCAACAAGTTCAAGGTTGGCCGCACAAATAGATATAGAACGAGTGGCGGGCCAGACGTCGGCGGCATGTTCAGGCCCCGATTGAGAAGCCCTCTGCCACTGAGTCAGCCTTATCACATCGCCCACCGGGCGAATTTTAGATGCTGCCTGGGAATAATGGGAATGTGAATGGGAATAAGGCGGGCGGGCCTGGCCACTTGGTTCTGATTTCAGATTTCGGGCCCCGACACAGAGCCGCAGAGCAATAACTGGTGATTAAGACAACAGTGTCATCGAGACAATCACAATAATAATAATAGCAAATGACCACGGGCCCATTTGCGTATAAAATATACAACGCGTATTACGGGCACATATGTATATCATCGTGGGGGGCCAGTCAAATCCAGTGTAACCATATCAACAATAACAACAACAACGAAGATTGACGTCGGCAACCAATTTGCCAATTTGCTTTCTCTGGAATCTAGGTAGCTCAAATTGTTTTCGTCTTGTTTGTATTTTTCCAAAACACTTCCTACAACGGAATTTTCCATTTACAAGGTTGAGTCGTCAGGAATTTCCTTAGCCGAAATGGACAGTTAATATTAATACAGTGGGTTCGCAAAAAACTTAGCAATATTACTACGTACTATTTTCAAATCAGCCGATCTATTTTAATCAGTTTAGGTGCAAGCTATTTTTATGAGGCTTGCCTTTTATTCATGTAGTTTTTCCGAATTAGAACCATCCGTGCTGATTAGCTGAGGCCATTGGCATTGCGAATGCACTTAAAAATCATGAAATAGAATTAGAAATCCAATGGGACTTGATAACGCCAACCATTGTGTTTTGTCCCTTTAAGTTATGCCTACCTATAAAAGGGGGCTCATCAACCAATCAAAGGGTTATCATGCCCAGGGCAAATGGTAAAGTTGTTTACAACTGAGTGATAGTCACCTGATGATGCTTGCACCTTCTAGCGTTATCAAGTGAATGGATGGAATAGATAATAAATATTTTTGAGATATTATCAGATAAACAAATGGATAGCAAATATTGTTTACAAACAAATTGATAACTTTTATAAGGTGAAAATTGGGTCATATCTAAACAAGAAATTATTTTGAATTACGTGATAGTCCGCCATTTGCTCCACTAAGCACTAAGTAATCGTAATATATCCCTCTGCTTTGGTGACCCACTTAGGCGTTTGCACATTTCTTGATCGATCGCAAAACTTAATCAACCTCGAACTGACGGCTGATAGTTTGTCACTCCACCTCCAGAACGTAGTATTTCTAAGACCCGTGCTGAGTCTCGTAACTTACGGCTATACCCATAAGTCATCAATAACAAAGTAAGAAATCAGTCCGCAAGCAAACATAACATGGAACTGGCACTATAAACCAGATAACGAGTCGAGTGCACGTGTTGACGATCTACGATCTGAATAACAAGATGTTATGAAACTTGGAACCACGTTCCGCGTAATCTCGTGCTACTTTTCTACTCCGGGGCTCCGAGAACCAGCAACATGTGAACGTCTCGTGCGAATGGAAATGTACTCGAGATAGCGGCTAAGCACAATGCAAGAAAAAAGGGGGAGGAACCGCCCCGGGGAGAGTCCACATCTATAAGGCGTACAGTCTGCCCATCCAACCGTCCATTGCTCTGTGCCCGTAGTCTAGTTCCAATATTTGTCTTAGTGCCCCTACCCCATGAGATCTGAGCAATCAGCTGTGCCACTCGGCACACATTGCGAGTGGAAAATTCTGACCAGATAGTCGGAAAAACACCCCGAGCTGTGAGAACTCGTACAAACAGCCGATATAAAAGCAAGAGCAAGTGGAAGTGATCATGTCATAGCGACCACTTGTAGATTGGCGACAATGTCGCGAGATGCTTAGGAAATTCGCACATTTTGGGTACACAAAGGGAAAACGAATAAAAATAAATAAACAAGTGTGCTGTCTTTATAGGGAACATAAAGATCATCTGGGGAATGCTCTAATTTAAAGATTATTTTAAGATTATAAGAAGTGAAATATATCATTTTGAGTTGGACTAAACTTAGCTTAGTTTAGACTTAGACTTGAGTAAGTCAAGATTCTTTATAATTAAAAGAAGGTATTGATAACGTTGGTTCTGAGATATTATTCCAATAGTTCTAAAAAAAGATTGTTTATATCTTAGGAACTTCATGTCACTTCAGTTAGGAACCATTAGTTAGTAAATACCTAGTCTTTCTCAACACAACTGTACTCTTGTCTACTTAAGAAAATAAGAAACCCAAGCCAAAAGACTCCCCCATGGTCACTTGCAAAACTAATCAGCAATAGGGGAACATAATACTGCATTTCAGGGCACTGATACAGAAACTAGAAACGTGAAGGCATCGCGTGAACTTCACGTGATTTCTAGCTCGCCGAGCACTACGTCTTATCAGAAGGCGTGAGTCCAAGTCCAAATACTACTAATGAGAGTATGCGATAGAATTAGAATTAGTTGACCCCCAAACGACGCAATCTGCTGCCCGTGTGGACGGTGGCGGAGTGGTCTGGGTCCGGGGCTTATCGCCCATCAGTCGGGGCCTACGGAAAAGTGATATACTCATGGGTGGCGTCGCCGTTTCAATTGGATCCGGGCCTGTCTGAAAGCGTTTTATTCTCGGTGCCGAGTCGGATTCGCCTGCTTATAGGCGGTACGATGCGCAAACGCCCGGGCAATTAAATGGGCGGAGGAAAATCACGTGCGCGACTCGCTTATTTTTAGGCACGCCCGAAGACTGGCAGTAATTAAGTGGGTGAAGTTTGCCCAAGCTAATCGCTAGTTGGCAGACCTATAAATAAGATTTGATAATCGACACTTGAAGTTGACGACCACCAACAAAATAATTATTTCTGGGGGCTTTCAGCACCATAAGTTCGACTGATGGTCCCTTACACGTGCCTGATTTTGTTGTTAGAATTATTGGTAATATTAAAAGATTTATTGGAATGATTTCCAATTTGGGCACTTAAAGTTTTGTGGCTCATCATTAAATATTAAGTGCAAAAGTACCAAAAAACGTTATAACATTATATTCTTTATGAGTTTGCTAAATTTAAACTTCAGCCTTTAAGACTTTTAATGATTAGATCAAAATCTAAGATAACCTTTTAAATATTTTTTAAGCGGCTTCTTTTCTTCTTCCGTTTCCTGAATTAGTTAAGTTGTATGCTTAAGCTTAAAGTGCATTAATTTTTTGTGGATTAAATCTAAGATAAAACCACTCTTGATGTATATGATATAAAAATATAAATTTACATTTCACTTTCTTTTTTTGCAGTGGGTCATTGTCATCCTGAGGTAGTTCGTGCTGGAGCCCTGCAGATGGCCACTATCTCGACCAACAACCGCTTTCTCCACGACGAGCTGGTCCAATGTGCCCGTACTCTGACCAGCAAAATGCCGGAGCCATTGTCCGTGTGCTTCTTTGTCAATTCCGGATCGGAGGCCAATGACCTGGCCCTTCGTCTGGCCCGTAACTTTACAAAGCGCCAGGATGTTATCACTCTCGACCAGTAAGTTTCTTTTCCTACATTAATATTAAAGTATATTAAATTTTATTCAAGCAAACTTACTGATCTTTAATTTTCCCTATTCTTACAGTGCCTACCATGGTCACTTGCAGTCGGTGATGGAGGTGTCTCCGTACAAGTTCAACCAACCTGGTGGCGAGGTCAAGCCCGACTACGTCCATGTGGCTCCCTGCCCGGATATCTATGGCGGCAAGTTCACCGACAAGATGTATCCGAATGCGGACATGGGTGCTCTGTATGCCCAGCCCATTGAGGAGATCTGCCAGAAGCAGTTGGCCAAGGGCCAGGGTGTGGCGGCCTTCATTGCCGAGAGTCTCCAAAGCTGTGGTGGTCAGATTTTGCCACCAGCTGGATATTTCCAGGCCGTATATGAGGCAGTACGCTCCGCCGGTGGCGTTTGCATCGCCGATGAAGTCCAGGTGGGATTCGGACGCGTGGGCAGCCACTACTGGGCCTTTGAGACCCAGAACGTCATCCCCGACATCGTGTGCGTGGCCAAGCCCATGGGCAACGGTCATCCGGTGGGTGCAGTGGTCACCACCCCGGAAATCGCCAAGGCCTTCCATGCCACCGGAGTGGCCTACTTCAATACCTATGGCGGCAATCCGGTGTCCTGTGCGATCGCCAATGCCGTGATGCGTGTCATCGATCAGGAGGGTCTGCAGGAGAATGCTCTGGTCCTGGGAGATTATCTCTTGGAGCAGTGCAATCGGCTGAAGCAGGACTTTGAATGCATCGGTGATGTACGTGGCGCAGGACTCTTTGTGGGCATCGAGCTGGTTCAGTCGCGGGAGGAGCGGATTCCGGACAAGAAGGCCGCCCACTGGGTGGTTAACCGGATGAAGCAGCTGCACCGGGTGCTCGTCTCCTCCGACGGTCCCAACGACAACGTGATCAAGCTAAAGCCTCCGATGTGCTTCAGCCGGGAGAATGCCGATGAGTTCCTCTTGGCCTTCAGGGAGTGCCTGACCGCCGTGATGCAGGATCGACTGGCCACTGCCGCCTCCGCCGCCATGGCTGCCACCAGTGGCGTCATCGCCACCGCCGCCGAAACGCTGGCCAACAAGACGAAACTCTTCGAGCGGCAGGATCGCCTCATCAAGTCCGTCTGAGGCAGTGCCTGCTGGTTGGCCAATGCCACCATCAGTACCACCAATGCCTCTCCGCCCGGGCACAAAATAGCTTTAGCCACCAAGGATATTTAAATTATTCCATGATCCCCTTAATGTCCTTTTGTCCCTGGTCCATTTAGCATTGACCCCCCTATTCTCTCAAAAATTTGGATTTGTTTAGCTGTAATGCCAAAATTTTAATTTGATTAGCATTAGTGCCATTTATCCGTAATCTACATATATATATTTTACGCTGTATAACCATTATTCTGTACGTCAAGTATCTTCTAGTATCTAGAAACGTAGGGAGCCCCACACGAATTTCTTCCATTGTAATATGTATATATACAGTTTTGATTATATTAAGTATATTATGTTTAAAAAAAATGTTATTAAAAAAGTTACGTATATTTTGTAAGCCTTTGGTGTTTAATTTGTTGGCAAAAGGAAGAAAGCGTTTTTCGCCCTTTGAATTATGTATGAAAGTATATATTCCTGATCGGGGATCTTTTCATTTTTGTCCGTCTTTTAGCCCGTCCATGTGAATTTAAGTTTTGTTTCCGTATATAAACAATAAGCCTATGAGTATGCAACCCTTTTCTTCGGTTAGTGAGTTGATAATATTTTTGAGGATTAACCCATTGTTAAGACCAGTTTGATTTTTTTTCAAATTTTTATTTTAAATGTTCGCTTTGCTTAAAACTAATTAAATAACTTTCCCGAAATATTGATTATTTGTTAGTGCCCGTGATTGCCGAGTAAATGCAGAAGTGGGGACTGCACATCCGGCTGCATTCGCACATCGATCACGGCATCCGAGAATTCCGAACACGGCGAGCAGCCACAATTGGAAGGCACCTCGTGCTGAAATAAAAATATATTTAAATTTGTTGATTAATTTTAAATGATATCCCTTCATACCTTCTGTGTAAACGTGTGGCCATCCTCGCAAATCATTTTCACTGAGATCGGATGATAGGATTTAATGCTGCAGCAGGTACAATACTTTTCGTGCATGTCGGTGAGTGTATTGTACTTAGAGCCAGAGGAACAGGCACCCTCGCAGTCGGTGAAGCCTTGAATGGGTTCGGCATTCACACAGGATCCATGTCCTTGCACGGGGAACTTGAGAATCTCCTTAGTGTGTGACTCAGCCAAAGAAACAGGTAGGCAAGTTGCTGCAAAAACCAAAGAATCTTGTTAGATCGATCTAAGGAATTAGGAATCTTCTTACATTTGTCCTCTATGAGTGGCTCCAATTTGCACCGCTGACAGCAGCCATCTTGGTACAACAAGTGGGAAAGGCAACTACCAACATCTGGACACACTTCATTTGAGGTTGTAACCAAAAACTGATCATCCTTCTTCAGACAACTGTAGGTAGTGCAATTGTCGGCCGATTTCCAAATGGCATTGACTTCATATAGCTTTTGCTCAAAAATGCAAGATGTCTGGACACATTTGCCACAACACTTGGTCTTGTCCAAGTTCTGATAACTGAATCCTGGGGCACAGTCTGTAAGGCACTGCTCCAAAGTGCTGACCACCTGGGCATTGCCATCGGGACCATAGGAGCAGGTCTCCAGCTTGCAAACATCCTTGGCATGCGTCCACTTATCCCCAACCTGCTTGGTGAACTTAGAGGACTCTTCGAGCTCATATTGCACAATGCACAGGTCCTTGGGAGGTACTGAAAAATAATATAGGTAATTTTAAAGATAGAAAAGTGTACCATTAACGATCCCTTGCATACCACATGCGTGTTTAGGGCAACATGCTCCGCCTTCCTTGGTGGTCTTGACCTCGTAGAATCGCTCTTGACAGTTAACAGGTGGTTTGGGGCACAACTGTGGCTTACATTCAATGCTCTGAGTGGGGCAACAACCTTCTTCTACCTTGACAACCACTTCGCCTGGTAGCAATTCTCGAAGCTTGACAATCTCACACTCATCCTTGGGTTTACACTCTAAAAGAAGTTAGGATTAAATTAAGAACTTATCTGTAGCGTTAAGAACTTACCACATATGTACTGGGCACAGCCATTAACATCCATCTTCTGTTTCTTAAACTGTCCAGGACCACAGATGGGCATTAGAGGAGCCAGACACTGCTTGGTCGGGTTCTTGGTCTCCGGGACACATCGGTATCTCGGGCAGCACTCCTCCACGCTGACAATTATTTCTGGCTTGTAGCCCTCGGCACAGATATTCTCCTCCACCTGGCATTTCCTCTCCACACAAGAAGTCTTTCCACCCTGATCGCACTGGCATTCGGTGCATTTATCCTTCTGCCATTTGTCGTTAGGTAAATGTGTTCCGTCATCGCATTTCGAGCAGGCTATCTCAGGGACACACTTGCCACCATCCATTACTTTTCCTGGGGGACAGAAACAGCCCTCAAAACGCTCCGAGCTCAAACACATTTCGTCACTCTTAACGGTGTGTATCACGGCCTGGCTTTTAAGACTCACTGCATCGAATTCAGACATGGCCTTAATGGTATCACAGTTTTTGGCACAACCACATGGCTCGTAGACCATATCACTTGGGCACTCATATGGACAGAGCTGGGGCCTCCTCCAATTGGTGCATATTCCATGTTGGTTGCACTCCTTGGCATAAGCAGCCAAGGCTACGCAGACTCCTTGCTGGGTGTTGCCAGGTTTGCAGATGTCCTGCTGACAGGCGGAGACATAGGAAATGGGATCCACCGCCAAAGGACACTTGCCGAACAACTCAGCATTGTAGAATTGCAGACAGGGATCCTTCTCCGGCGGCAGGGGAATGCAATGCTCCTTGGGCACATTCTCACTGAGACACTCTTCCACCAAACCCAACTTGGGTTCATCCGCTTGCCAGCTTTGGATCACATCTACCCCGGCTTTCTTCTTTGCCGGATTAGCCTGAAGATCATTGGCCGCATTGCCATTACAATCGCCACAAAGTCCCTCCATCTTGCTGCCATACTTGATACTTGGTACGCCCAAGGAGAAGATCAGATCTTCAAAGGAGGCAGTCAGCTCCACATGGGATTCGGGAAGGGATAGGACCAATTCCTTGCCCACCACCTGCCGCAGGCTAATCCAACTGTCCTTAAACGGTATCTTCTTAACCTCGAATCCATCGACCAGGACCTGTAGCGACTTTGGTTTCTCCGGAACGCGCTGGACATGAATCACATGGTCACCATTGAGGATGTGCAGGGATTTGGCACAGCTGCCGCCCTCCACGGGAGTGGGTTGCCCTAACTTCTTGCAGTCATCCATGCTGACATACACCTGGAATGTGTGGACACCAGGGAGAACCACATCTCGCGACAGGAGGTATGTGCAGTTTCCATTAAAGCTGAAGCTCTTGCGGTCGTAGGTCATGTACTTGGAGGCACCCAAGGCGTTGCACACACAATCCTTGCACTCCGAAATGGGAACGCAGTTGGGTCCCTTTCGTACTGTTCCCTCTGGACAATAGCATCCCGGGAAGCAGGCATCTGGAAGCACCGGACAGTCGTCCCCGTGAACATTATCGCAGGATGGCTCACAGCGTCGCTTGTAACAGTCCGTGTGAACCAACGGCGCAGGACAATTGATCTCGCACTGGGCGACGGCTCTCCAAGTGGTCAACTGGACCAGCGGATTTACACTGAGGCACTTCTTCACAAAGCTCTCCAAGATGTTGCACTTGCAGGCCGCTGGATCCCCATTGTTGGCCATCATGCAATTGCAGGCAGCTTCCAGGCAGTAATTGTTAAGGAACTGCTTGTAATTAACGGCCTTGTGGCACCGCGCAAAGGTTGGATGACTGTGGAGAAAAACGGCCATATATCAAATCTCTTAAAATCATGAGAATTGGAATTACACATAAATTGACTTGCACACAGTTGATTCAAGCAGGGTTCTATTAGTTACTTACTGGATGATATTACACAGCTGCAAAGCCTTAGCCTGCATTTCCCTGGAGCACTTGAGATCTCCACACTGGTCCTTGGGAATCCGTTTGTCATACCAACTGTCACCGAACTTCTCAGTATTTGGAATAATTTCTCCCTCCGGCGATCTCTTGTCGTCCTTTGGGTTTCCATTGTAGTAGCCGCACAGACCGTCGACAGTGCGCTTAAATTTGGATGAGATGCCAACCTTGACGATTCCGATGTCATCGAGCTGTACCCAGAAACCATACTTAGTGGATACGGCCAGTAGGGTCTTGCCCGGCTGGGAAACCACAAAAGAAGCCTTGCAAATAGGTGAATTGATCAGTTGCTGAACTGTGAACTCGAAGCCATTGAACTTGAGCTTTAGATGGGGCAAAAGAATCAACTCGTTGCCCGCCTCGGTGTCCTGGATGGTAATAACCTTGTGGCATACTTTGCGGCTCTCATCGGTACATTGCTGATGGACTGAAAAAATATGAAGTTCAGAATTGGAATGACAGTAAAGAAGTTGAGTAATATTTCCTACCCGATATAGACCAACTGCTCTTGTGAATATCTCTGGCCAGGATGTGGCTGCAGGGTCCATATTTGAAAACAGTTCCATCAAAGGTGGTGAAGCTCTTGCCGCTAATCTCACACACATCATCTTTGTTTGGTCGAAGAACACAGGCGTATCTCATGCAGTCGCCCACCTTAGCCGCACTCATGTCCAGCTCCACATCGTATTTCTCAGGACATTTGGGTTCCGTACATGTGATTGTCTCGGACTTGTTCACTTGCTTGTTGGGAGTGGGTACACATGTAAACTCGTCGCACTGCTCCTCCAGTTGGAAGTCCAATTCCTGGCTGGGCATTGCCAGAATTTGTTCGTTGGACGAGATGAACTTGGTCTTGGTGATGGTCGTTCCATCGTCCACTATCGACACCTGCTTCGAGAAGGTGAACATCTTGGACATCTTTCTAGCCTTCTTTTCGGTTATTCTGATCGTCATTTGAGGCGGGCAATAGGGCACGGGACATGTGATGACCTCAGCTGGAGAAGAATATATAAATATATTATATAGATGATGTGGTATTATGGTTTACCGAGCTTAAACTTACACTCATTCTTTTTATGTTCGAATTCGGGCTCCACCGTAAAGGAGTCACTGCAGCTGGAGTCCTCATCGTCAGCACAATCCCTTACTCCGTTGCACCAAAGCACCTCGGGAATGCAATCTCCACTTGATGGGCACAATCTTTGGTGTTTGGGACAGGCCTCGCATTTACAGAAACAGTCGCTGGTAATCACAGGCCGCAATTTGGTATCCTGACAGGGCGGGCACTTCTTGGGCTTGCAATTCTTATGGCCACCCAGTACGCAGACGCAGTCCTCGCAGGCCGAGTTCTCAAACTTGCTACCTATTGGATAGCTAACATAGTTCTCTATACAAGGACAGAGATTGTGCTGAACGCAGTCACTGCCATTCCAGAATTCTTGATCCTGGCACT